AGCCTTTTTTCAATGTTTGGCGTCTTAGTTTAATACATTCTTAATTTAATAAAATGAAAGGAATATTAGCTAATTCAACAAAGAACTTTTATCTGATGAAACATAGTGTCTTGTAAAAGAGTGAAAATGGCATTGTTTCAAGTTTCACACATTAAAGAGCCTCATGCGTAACAAACTTTTCTTGCATGCGGAATTCACATATGATGCAACGAATTCTAAATTTGTATGGAAAGGTAATATTTTTGTAAAATCTTCAAGATTGAAGAAGATAGACGCTGCTGGTGGTGGACTTGTAGTCCAAAAACTTTCTTTTGAAAGTTACTTCAGTATTGAAAGTAGAATAGACTTGATTGAATTTTTGTGTTACAGCACAACACCATCTGTTTTTTTTTTACATTTATTCCGACGTATAAGTAACGGTTATGTGTCGGGTAACAATACAGATGCTTAGAATCACTGCTGTATGATTCATTTCCAGGGAAACATCGCCATATAATTAACCAGAAAGAAATGCAATTTAAAGTACATTTGTACAGTAAATGATGAATCACGCGTAACAATGATAACGTCATTGCTGTGTCGAGATGCGACTGTTCATCGTCATAAATGATATTCGAAGAATTAGACTGCCAATAATAAACAACCTCTGTTGAGATACAGAACGCAAAAGAAAAAAAAAGAAAAAAAAACAGCAACATGTGTCGAAAGTACAATAAGAGTATTGAACTGCCTCCTTCTAACCATCATATGTTCAGTTCAATGCTTTCAGTCAGTCAGAAAATATGCAAAATGTTGACAAAATGTGTCACAGTAGATCGCCAGATGTTCTACAATATGAAAACAATTAACATTGTTTTAAAGATATGATATTTAAATAAAAGTTGACATTGGATTATCATCACCGATAAAACTGCTGGGAGCTAGTGCATTGCCAGGTAAGGTTCCTAGCGCTTCTATCTGGGTCAGCAAGTATGAATGATATAAGCTGATAGATTTTTTCGCCTTTGAATAAAAATAAGTAAAGTTTATATGTTGCAAAGTATCTAGACTACGTTTTGGACGATTGTTCTGTAGTAGCTGCTCTAATAGCTAGATGTGCCGACACCTGAAGGATATGAAGGGTCGGAAGAAATTATAAAAATATGTTGATCAAGATTTACATGGCGGGTGTCGTCGATGAAGCAGAAGACGCTTACTTTATCAGAACACCTGGTCTTATTCTCCTGATACTTTTTGAGGAATCTCCGTGTAAATCCTTCTTTTGTTTATATTTTGCCCTAGTTCTATGGATTGAGTTTGAATTATGAATATGTTGCTATGTTGGTATTTTCATGGTGTTTATCGTTAACCTATAAGGCAGAAAAACACCTTGCAGCAAAATACATATGATATTTGCGTGTAGTAAATATCCATGATCGTTGTATTGACCATATAGATACAAATAATGACACAGAGGTATTGACCTTGTCCATAATCGATTTAAGTAGATGTTATGTATGTGGCTAATTGATACTACTACTGGTATTCTATTTCACGTTTAAGGTTGGCCAGGTTACAACTGAAAGTGCGTAAGCAAAAGAGTGTAATCAAATGTAATTAATTAGTGTTATTATGTATTGTTAGACTGGACGTATTGACAATCCCCTAATTAGAAATGAGACGAATGTATTGTGTTATAGAATGTCCAGATAATTAAACGTGATTATATCCTTTTGTAAACGAGAAACGACCAGAAAATCGATCGCTTTGAGAAATTAATTATGGATATATATGTTTTCAAACTGCTCTAAATTAAATTATTGATAGAAAATAATTGAAAATCGATCACCTCTGAAAATATGTTATAGTTTTACAGATCAATCATTGTCAATGTGTTTCAAGAAGAGATGCGGAAATATTGATCTGGATTTTATGTAAATGCATTCTTATATACCTCGCATGATGAAAGTTTTGACAAATATTAAGTTTACAATTAAAATAGACAACTGTACCAATTATGATGTTGGAACATCTGATATAAAACTGTTTGGATGTGACAAATTACTAGTAACCATGTTATATTTTATACCATTGATAAATCATCTTGTCACAAAGTTGATTAAAAACAATGCTCAAATGATATCAAACCTGACTTTGTGCTGAAAACCCAGGAGAATGTTATTGGTATGTTTATATGTACTGTTTAGTAAATAGCTTTCTATTGCCTTGTGACGTATCATGATATTGACATATCGATAATAGATTGTCCCATTTGACAAGTTGACGATGTTTTTCTCTTCGATTTAAGTTATACAATTGCTCTGCTTTCTGCCAACAAAGAAAAAAACCATCAAAAATATCACATGGTTTTGTGAAGCAAGTGCTGAATATATTGGTCTATTGGCGATATTGATTTTCGATTGCTAATCTCAAATTCTATTTATAATTTATAATTATAGGTCGAATGTTAATTTATAATATACATTTGGTGTTTTACAGACTCTATCACTCCTGTGTGATGTAGAGTCCATGCGATAGCGTACGAGGTGATACATTTGAAATGTTCCCATCACCGAGGTTGCTGTTTTCTTCGTCACACAGTATGATGTCTCACACTCTTTTGTTACAAAGTTCCGTTAATTAGATCGTGTGAACGCAGATGACTCAGCCATCATTAACAGCAGGTGATGAGACTTTGGTATGCTGTTCCTAAATTTACCCTTGATAAGTAAAACGGAATTTTACATATGGGAAAATAAATTAACTAATAAATATTCTAGTATTCGATCAGTTATCGTTACATATTATTGATATATTATCAAAAGTGTTAATATTTTTAAGCGAATCGATCAGTTAGGGAATCTGATATCAATTACTCGGGATCCAAGGTGTTTTAGTTTACTCGGGAAATAACTATATGCTGTTTAACCTGTATCTATGTAATAAAAGTAATCACAGGATCAACATCATTACATAGGGTAGGTTGTTTAGAGGACAAAGGTCTCATGTCAATGCCCATTTAAGTCTAAATAAAAGGTTGTCGGTTAAATTGTACATCATCAAGTCTCAGTATTTCCGTAGTGAAATTAAAGATTATCTGTATATGATTTGTCAATGTATCAACTGACTATATATAAAATCAATTACAAATGAAGTATTTCATCAATGTTTTGAACAGAAAAATCAAAATTTTGAAAAATTAAAATATATATATATTTCTATATATTGCAAATACGTACTGATATTGAGTTATCAGTATGATAAAAAAATATTTTTAGCTTAAATGCAGATTGAATGACAGTACCAGATAATCTTTTCCTGACATGAAGCATTGAATATAATTTGGTATATACAGTCTAAAGTCCACTGATTGTCATGTTCGTGAAAATTTAATTACATTTCATGTCTGATATCTATTAAAACTGAATCGTTTCGAAAAAAACAGACGACGTTACAATTATCCTGATTGATAAAATATTGATTTTTTTTAGTTAAAAAATGAAATTGTGTATACAAAGCGGAAACTAAAACGTTTTTTTACCAATGAAGATTTCTGAAAACAATCAAAATTTTTGTATTGAACTGAAATTACATTTTTTCCTTTCACTTTTATTTCAATTACAAAAAAAAACAAATATTTACACAAGAGCAGTTTGAGTTTTTCAGGTAAGAGAAGTATGTATCTATTATTGGGAAAATACCATCGGTGTTTGCCTCAATATTTGTATAAACTGTAATACCAAAAAGGTACCATTATGTATAGTGACATATTTACCATTAAGGTAAACATTTATTACAAAGCATGTTTCTATTTATTAACAACATCAAATTGTCAATATAGATAATATTGATTCCTAAGATTACGCAATCATTACTTTATTGAACTGTTTCGGTCAACTGGTTCGTTAGTACTGCAGTACTGGCGGTGTGGTCGAGTTGTTTTTAAGTCAATAGCGCCCATGACACTAGTATATATACAATAGTTCTGGTGATACTGTTTCATTATCAGCATACCTGCAGTATGTCTTGTCAGTTTAACAGCATTTTGAATGTCATTTTATTTCTTTATTCTTTATAACAAATAAATCACATCTATCAATGATAAATGGTTTAAATGCTAATTTATGGAGATATCGATAGTCCTTTTATACTATATATATAATATATATTACTATATTAGGTCATTAAGCTGAACCCTTCTCCTCATCCCACAGGTCATTATCGGTAAAAGGTGTGGCTTGTTGTTATTACTTTGTGCGACCAGCGTCAAAACAACAATCCATCATCAATAGGCTTAACACAAACAAAATGTTATGGAACAGATTTTAAGGAAATCTACAAAATCGAAACTGATGTTAATGGCAATCATTCTGATTGTCTAGGCAACCTTTCATTTGGAACATTTCGTAACTTTCTAATATATCTGCTGCTATCATTATAACAAGCATGTATCCAGCAACTTTATTTAATATTTTACAACATTGGATGTCAGTATCACCTGCGAAATATATGGGTTGGTTAATTGAGATGTACGGACAGCCTTGAAACCAGCAAAAAATATCGGCATATAAAAAGCTCTTCAAACTAAAAATAGATAAAATGACGACAATTTATGAGTAATTGATATCGAGACCCTTCCAAAGCAAACGAAGAATACGACAAATTTGAACTTGAACTTGAAGTAGAAGACATTTACTCTTTTGAAACATTTGGTCTTATCATCCTTGTCTCTTGTCAAGGGCCTCCGTGTCACCTTCCATTGGTTCGTATTGTGCTCTCTTCTAATCGATTTTGAGAGTTTTTATTTTACATCTGGAGAGTTGAAAGTTTTTATTCTAGATCTAATCGATTTTGAAAGTTTTTTTGTATAAATAAAATAATTTCTGGGCATATCTGTACTCTCTCCTTGTTTTTTCCACAAAGTACCCGAGCATATACCCCCATCCCCCAATTGATATCCGTAGTTAAGTCAAATTAACACGCAAAGAAACTGAAAAAATAATTTCTATTTGTAGATGCAGATGTCGTCGGATGTTTCAGGATCTCCCGGTCGTCCTCGTAAAATTACTTTGGCAGATTTCATCCAAGTAAAACGTACCAATCCACATGTAAATTTTGACCTTCGCTCAAGACCATTAACGCCACACAATGGTGTGTCAAGTGTTCAAGGTAGCCAAAATAACATGGATACACATTCTTCAACCACAGACAAAACCATTTCAAACACATCAAATAGACGAGACAGCTCTCGGACGTATTCATCTGATGATCAGGAAGACGAAAAAGAAGCTAAAGGTGAGAAAAACCGCCGACATAAAAGGGCCGTGTTTGCGAGTGATGGTCAAGGCCAACGAGAGTCAGCATGGAAATCAGAAAGTGTGAGACGAATTCGTATGAGTACAATTATCCAGAAAAGTCGGGATAGTTCTGCTAAAACAACAAGAACGTCTAATTTAGATTCATTCAATGATTCAAGATCAGGATATAGTTTGGACGTTATGTCGACACACTCAACAAAGCACAGACCTAACACTCGAGAGAGCAAACGGTCAAGACGAGGTCGTGGGTCAAGGGGAGATAAAAGGCAAACTTCACATACTCCTGACGGATCTGACGTACATCGACAAACACGGGACAGTACAACACAGACACCTGGGGAAAGTAGGGCGTGTCAGACATCGCCTATTTTATATAGTAAAACTGATGGCAAAAAATCAGTTATGGAGGAGGTCAAGTCACAACCTATCACAGAAGTGGATGACGAATTCGATTATCCATTATCACAACTGTTAGCAGAATACCCATATAATCCTAAAACAAAAGAGACCGAAACAAAAGTGACTGAATCAAAGACAATAGATATAGATATCCAAAGCTCAAATGACGACGGGAAAAAGATTTATGATGCAGACGGAACTATCATCGTTGTAACGGCCTCCTCGCAAATCAATGCAAGGGCAATGCTAATAGATAAAGACAAAGGCGATGATTCCAAAAGCGTTGCAATCTCCGAACAGGAAAAACCTGATACAGGTTCTGAAACAAAGGATGAGAACCACATTGATAACCGACGCGTTTTTAGCGATCCAAGCAGAGATAAATATAATCAATCTGGAAATTTGAGTGGAACTGACGAACCGGCCGAAGCTCAAGGTGGCAAACATCCAAAAATTATTTCAAACGCAGACAGTTTAACTATGTCAAATACAGTTCTGTCTTTAGACAAAAAACAAAAAGAGTCACCGTCTGATCAGGTTAATAATGGTTTAATTGTGCCTCCTTCTTCGCTGGATTCTTTACAGGAGAAACCCATTGGTGAAGGGTTCGAACAAATGGATGAATGTGCAAAACCAAACACCATTGGTAATGCTGTGCTAGGTGTAGACAATAAACTTGCACCAGACGGTGCGAGTCTTGAAATCAGGTCAGATGTTGAACCAGCAACAGAAAAAATCACCGCTGCCAGTCTGCCACCTTATAAAGACGATAATGTTGATAAACAACCACCAGAAAAATGTATAAGTGTTGATTCTACAACTACCACAACAGAAAATATTGAATTGGAAAGAAAAAACAGTGTTCAAATATCATCGAAAACATCATTGCACGAAAACAACGGTAATGACCCTTCGCATGGTCGACATTCAAGTAGTGAATTTTCACAAGCCAAAGACAAAGATGTTGGAACTCTACACAAAACAGCGGGCGATGGATCTATGATAGATACAAAAAGTGGTCTTCAAAAGAAGGATATTCACACTACAGGTCAAGAATTACACAATGAAAAATCAAAACCTCTGAACGTTAAAAGAAACCACCCAGCAAATACGTCTAGCAGCATTGTAAGTATACTTTTGAGCTAACTTTACCAAGTTTACAGCCATTTTCAATAGGAGTATTATTTTTATACGAAAAGGGGATTTGGGATTTATGATTATTGCGATGACCAGGAAGAAGAATTCTGTGGGAGTTAAAGGTAGGTAGAGGCTATTGGCATAAAACAAAACGGTCACCCAATGGTCAGATGGTTGTGTAGACAGACAGCAAGAACTAAATTCTAAGATTTTTGAAGATACTTCCTGCTCATTGGTAGCGATATACATAAATGAACAAGGAACATTTACTACAGTTTGTATAAACGAGTGTCATCAGTACAGATATTTTATTGGTTTATTGCCTCTCCTCATTATCTTTGGTGAAATAATCGGTGGTATGGGAACTAGGCAGAAAACAATGTCTTGGTTTTCTTATCTTTGGTGAAATAATCGGTGGTATAGGAACTAGGCAGAAAACAATATCTTGTTTTTATTATTGTATTAATTGTTTTATTGATCCTTATTATCATTTTCCTTTGTTTATTTATTTATTTGATTATGTCAGATAGCTTTGATCATTCTTGTTTTTAAAGTAAATAAGCTTCAGAATTGTATTTATTGGAATTGATCAAGAAAATTGCTTGATAAATAGTACAATCAATTATGGTTTTTTCCAACGACGATTGTAATATAATTTTCTATCGAAGGAACAATAGTTGTTTAAACAATAATCGATACTCTTCATCCTGTGTATATTGGTGTAGTTTTTATGTTCATGACTGTATACAAAGGGGTAGTGTCAACACCGGGCAATATTCAAGTAGGACTGTGTCAATCCAGTAAATAGATATTGATTATTCATATTTAAGTATATAACAATATTAATTATTAAACAATTATAGAATTAACACTGAATCTACAAATAACATTCGTTTGATCTCTCTTGTCTTATTCTTCTAGAAAAAGAAACAAATAAGTTTAAAGTTACTTGCAAAATTTGTGAAAAAAAAAGAGAAAAAGTATAAAAAATTAAATTTAATCTGAAAGAGTATTTGTAGGAATGTCCCAGCTTGAGCGATATAGCATTTCTAGATGATTAAAGAAATGTCGGCAAATGACACTGAGGAATGGAAGTAATCAAAGTATCTATACTGTGACATTTTACATATTATCTAGTATTAGTTGGTTAATGTAGTAATTAATGTTGCTTGTAGATTATAACAGTTTGTCCACTCGTATGTTTATAGGGAGATCTTTTCACATTTAGTTGTGCGATATTTTGTCAAATGTTTCTTAGAATACCGGGTGTCATCAGTGATGAGTCCTACAAAGACGGAACAGGTGTATGACGTAGATCAACACATTATTTATAACTAAAAATGAATTCGTAGTTTGTATTGAAGGTTCTATTCACTAATGTATTCTTTGTAAAATATCCTTGTACATCGTCGAGGAAAGATAAGATACTTAACCATCAGGACAGATAGTCTCATTTTTAGTGTTCTCTCTTTACTTTCGGTGTGAATCTTTGTTTCGTTGAAATATTGGTAATTTATCAATATTTAACTTATTCTACATCTTTGTAGACATGTCCTTTTTCTTATTTTTTGTTTTTTTTTTTTTTTTTTTTTTTTTTTTTTTTTTTTTTGGGGGGGGGGGGGGGGGTAAATCTAGATGTATGTAAATGAGAAATCCCATCAGGATCAGAGAATCCCATGTCTTGTACTTCATACATGGGATTTGTAAATCATTGGCACTGAAAACGAAAAAGAAGATAAAAAATTATAAGCGTAATATACTTTTCAAAGAGAGAGAGAGGGGGGAGAGAGAGGGGGGAGAGAGTGAGACAGAGAGAGAGAAAGCAGAGAGAGACAGAGAGAGGGAGAGAGAGAGAGAGAGAGAGGGAGAGAGAGGGGGAGAGAGAGAGAGAGAGAGAGAGAGAGAGAGAGGGGGGAGAGAGAGACAGAGAGAGAGAGAGAGAGAGAGAGAGAGAGAGAGAGAGAGAGAGAGAGAGGGTGGGGGTGGGGGAGGGAGGGAGGTAGAAAGAACAAACAATGTAATTTGAAATGTTTGGCAGATGAAACGATTAATGGAGTAACAAAGTGGTTCTAATGAACTCTAACCTTTAGTCTTTAGTCATGACTGTTTAATAGATTCCGTAAAGTGTTTATTTGCTCTGTACTTTATTTTCAGTTTGATGTCATCAAATGTGCCATTTATATAAACATTGATTTACAAATAACAACCTCATTTTCGTTAACACAGAGCGTTGTATTTACAGTCTGTTCGTACATACGTTTGGTGGTAGCCTTCCAACACTAAAACAAGGTCCCAAACACAAAAATAAGTCGTTTTGTTTTTAAATAATATAATTCAATTTAGAATTATCATACATTTTGTTGGATAAGTTGGATAATAAAGATAGATAAATGAAGTTAAATCAAACAATTTATTTAACTTCAATAACTTTATTATGATGGCGTCAAGTTGACTAAGCTTTAGGTGACCGAATTCAAATCCATTTTTGTTTCAAATGTACTCTATACATTATTATTTATATCTATAATAATGCTGTATTGATATAAATCTGGTTTCAATCGTTACATTGATGGTCCTGCCCATGTGACACTTGTTTTATAATAAAGCAGTGCGTGGTTCTTCTCGTTCTGTATATGGACAGGTACGTTTTATTCGTGGTTAATTATATTGTATTGTTATGTGCAGATTTTGCTGAGTTTTTGTCGTATTTTTTACAAGGGAGAGAGAAGGATGAATTTGGTACATGTTTGTTCCATGTTGATATTAGTGTTCGGTCATATCCGTAAACGCAACTAAAGTACTTTCATTCTTTACTCTGTCAGGATTACAGGAATGATGATCAAATAATTTGATTAATTGTTCTGATGATGATATATACATTTGAAAAGATTATAAATGCGGTTATTTGTGTTATTTTAGAGTCGCAAAAAACTGGAAATGGAAAAGTCACAGCACGATAAAGAGAAAGAGAAGAGACTGCTTGGTGCATGTAAGAAGGAGTTGTCTGATGAAGTTCAACTTGGGAAAGCAGTTCTAAATGTCATCCAAATGTGGAAGGATTCTGCGGTAGTCAGGTCTTTAAAAGATCAGCAAACTAAAAGAATTTTAGAAGATGAGACAGAAAATGGGAATTCGTCATCAAGTTGTCAGTGGTCGGACAAAACGTCCGAGACAGAGGAACAGCTACCTTCCCGTGGAAGTTTATCAAAGAAAAAAGACAATGAAAGTACAATACTGAAGACGGCATCGATGACACATAGTCAACAAAAACAGATTCAGATTGTAATACGGAATCCTGGACGGAATGATGCCTCTAACAAAGAATCTGCGGTCAAAATCGTAATTAAACTGCCAAACGACCCTCACAGCCAGTCTTCTGTAAGTACTCCTGATGTAGCTGAAGCGAAAGTAGGCAAACCAATCAACGGCATGGATGAAACAGATCATGATAAACACGTCGAGATTCCAGAAACACACGAACAAGAGACACCAGAGATTTCTAATGAGGAAACAAAACAAATTCCTGTTGAAGGGCCAGAAGACATTCCTGACCAAGAACCAGAAACGGTTCCGGATCAGGAACCGCCATCGGAAGTTATCAAGGAAACACAAATGGTATTACCACCTGTTAAAGTACTAGCCCCCAGTGAAAAAGACAGAAGTTTTAAAAGATTAAAACACGTAAAAAGTGGTAAACGAAGGACATCTTTTATTTCTGTCCGACAAGCGACGGTTACAACGGCTTCAGTACGCATGCGTGAAGTAGACGGGGTATTCTGTAGCAACAAAGGCGTGTATATTGGTCACGACCGAAAATTGTATAACACGTTCAAGGTAAGTAAGAACAGAATATCCAGACAGGAGTTTTTGTCTCATTGGAAACTTGACATGGCGTACTCGTATCGTCAGAGTAAAATTACACGTTGTCTTTTTAGGGAACTAAACTGGTTGGCATAAATTTACAATCGGATTTATACAATTACTATATGTTATATATTACCATACATTGTGTCAAGTACTTCTTACATCCTATGTTCGCAGAGACGTAAGTCTGTGGTCGGAGTGCCTATGTTTGTTACTGATATAACCAAGTATACATTTAAAAAGGTGCCACTTTTTGTTCCGAATGTTTCAAATCATCCCGCATTTGATTAACAAATTAATTACCCTAAGCAGTAACCGTCACTCAAATGCAGAGCCATACGGAAGTGTGCCCAACCTGTGTAGGGAGAGACTTGCATGATACCAAATATATCATTCATAGTTAATATACTTTATGTTGTAGGATGCATCGCAAACATCACGTGTTGACCAAATTCTTGAAAACTTCAAAGAGATGCGGAATGGGAACATAGGAAAACCCGAGTTTCTATACGATCAAGCTAATGATGAGATATTCCAGACTCACCTCGACAGTTTCCGGCGAGGAAATTCCAAGTCTAAGGTCAATGGGAGCGTTGTCATGGCAACGAGCAAATTATATGGTCAAGCACGAACTCGTAAGGCAAAGGCGTACTCCAATTTACACAAAAAGCTGACGAACACTGTGAATTATTAACTCTACCATCTATCTTATAGAAATGCTGATAACAGATACATTTTTTAACCTGTCTTGAAACAAATTTCTTTTGTAGACATCAATTGAAAAGTAAGGCTGAAAGAAACACAAGGCAAAAAGTCGATAAATGGATACACATTATGTATAATATATATTGTAAAACTTCCAATCCTGAAATATTGATTTAGTCTATTTTATCAAACTCTATACTGGATTTTAACAGATTTAACTCAAAATTAGAATTAGAATTGGGAAAAATATAAACAGATATAATGATTGGCAAATATGCAAATATCTTCCATAAATGTACCACGTAAGTTGTTTCGTCATTAGGTATACTTTTATTTATTTATTTACGTGCTTATTTATATGTGACTGAGTTTCTTGTCAAGTCCATTACATATGTACATTTACCATAGTAAATGCAACGATGTTTCTTCCATATCTCACATGCTTTAATTTGCAATTAACAGAAATATTTTTGTTCTTCATACACAAAATGGCAATGTCATAACAGTAGTGACCCAATTATTCATATTTAATCATCTCAAATGGTGTCAATATTATAAGAATTACAGCATGACAATTACACATATTCACAGGACGCTCACAATAGCTAAGAATGGACATGAAATTTCAATAGCTTTTATCGGGGGAAAATGATACATTTAATGTAAGGATGTAGGAAGCAAACCATGAATTTATTGAATATAAGTCCTTTTATTTTTTTTAAATCTTTTTAAACATATAATTTATATATGAATATAATTCCTTGTCTGATTTCATTTGCTTTTTAGATTAACATCGTTAATTTTAATAGAACCGTTTTTCTAAGAAAAAAATGTATTGAAAATGTTTCTATTCGGTCTACGGTTGTATTTTTCATATTAAAAAAAATGTTGAAACGATTTCAAAGTGTAACGAGCATACCTGAACAAAATGATATTCATCTTAGATTTGAGTACTCACACTACAATAGCAAATTCCTGCAGGCATTGGATATAGTCAGCTTCATATCTACCTACATTTTAAAAGCGTCAAAACAGATATTAGGATTGCGACATGCACCATCTCTCACCTGAAAATGTCAGTAAATGCGACACGAATTTCTAGAGTCATGGGTGATGACACGATGTATTGGGTTCACTTGTTTGTAGCGGTTTACTGCATAGTAGAATGTGTGAGTAGAAAAACAGCTCGAAATAAAATTTCCGACATTTAGCGCAACAAACTTCAACCATCTCACCTTCATATGTAACAGATTACATTATTTATCATTTATATTATCAAGTGTTTTGTATAACTGATCTGTATATGACAGACGTATTTTGTACTGTGATATTTTGTAAAGGTGTATCCAATACGATAATTTAAATGTAACATTTTGACAATAAAGCAGTATATTTCTAACCTTACTCAGTTTGCCTTGCAGTCAGACGTAGGGAGATACCAGCTGCTTATGTCTTGTTGAGCTGCACTGAAACAACTTAGATATATCAGCTAGTCAAAATAATCATAATCCAAATTCAAAATCAATAAAACAAAATATGAACAAAACAAAGATTTACCAACAGATATATTAATATATATTAACCGACTTCATATCACATAATGATAAAATATTTCATAATGAGATCACTATGACGACCGTAGAACTGTTCTGATGGGACATGGTCAATAAGTTTCTGGTTATCTAAAGACGAGACATAATTAACATATCTGAAAGTAAAATTGATGGACCTTTCAATGCCTTTGTGACTAGTTGTGATAATATTAGGTTGATAAAAGAGAGAAATAAAAAGAAAGTGATGGCGTGTTCAAAGAAACTTGATTCAAACTCAAAATTGATAAAACGAGTTCACATTATGAAGATTTTATCTGTTCCGGAAGGGTAAGCGTCTTCTGCTTCATCAATGACACACAACACGTAAATTTTGACCAATCCAAGAAAGTTTTGTCAAGTACCATAAAGAGAACAGTGTTCAGTATTGTTAAAACTACCTTTAAATTAGGCGTATATAAAAATAGTTAGCGACTAAAGTTAAGACATCTAACTTTCCCCCTGTATGCTTTCGTAGTACCTACGCTACGTGATCAAACTTAAGTAACACCTGTTTAGTGTATGGCGATATAAAGCCATTGGCCATCTTAGTAGTCATATACTAAAGAAAATGACGCAAGGCAGTGATGAAATACCGAATACTGATGACGGACTTATGTAATTTTGACTAGTGATAACTATACTGCTTACCCCAAATATTACTACAACTCAATTGCCATGGACATCTTACCGCCAAGACGTATATTGAGTCTGGGTTTCAGTGACACTGTTATTAATTTTCCCCTGATAGTTATAAAAATGTTGCCATAATCTATTGTAACATGGTTCTATCACTACTTTCATGGTATCAACCGACTACTGCCTTGAGAAACTAATGTTAAGGTCAAAAGGCGGAGGGGTTGATACTGACTACTGCCTTGAGAAGCTAATGTTAAGGTCAGAAGGCGGAGGGGTTGATACTGACTACTGCCTTGAGAAACTGATGCTTAGTGTCATAAGGGGGAGGGGTTGATACTGACTACAGAGATTTATTGATATCAGTGGGTGGTATTCCGTTCCCTTCTGCAATAAGAAGGTCGACACTCGTTTATGAGCGTGCACACTTTCAGAACGTAGCACGACTGCTTTGATCCATATACGAATTCATAGCGGATGTCCAATATAAAGCAAAAGACGTTTATCCTTACAAACATCTATACATTTTCTTGTTTCGGTATTTTAACGTCACTTCACAAGTTTTAGCACGAAACACTGATTGTTTCCTCGTCAAATTGTATTTATGATAAATGTGTAAATAAAACGTTAACTGCTCGATCAAGATATTTGTTGAGGACCAACCACCGTTAAGCCAAGTCTCCCCAAACTACTCGATGTTAAGATATTCCTTGAGAACAGATTACCATAAAGCCAAGTCTCCCCAAACTACTCGATGTTAAGATATTCCTTGAGGACCAATTACCATAAAGCCAAGTCTCCCCAAACTACTCGATGTTAAGATATTCCTTGAGGACCAATTACCATAAAGCCAAGTCTCCCCAAACTACTCGATGTTAAGATATTCCTTGAGAACAGATTACCATAAAGCCAAGTCTCCCCAAACTACTCGATGTTAAGATATTCCTTGAGAACAGATTACCATAAAGCCAAGTCTAAAGCCCTACAAACTACTCGATGTTAAGATATTCCTTGAGAACAGATTACCTCGATTTAAGATATTCCTTGAGCCAAGTCTCCCCAAACTACTCGATGTTAAGATATTCCTTGAGAACAGCCAAGTCTCCCCAAACTACTCGATGTTAAGATATTCTTTGAGAACAGATTACCGTTAAGCCAAGTCTCCCCAAACTACTCGATGTTAAGATATTCCTTGAGAACAGATTACCGTTAAGCCAAGTCTCCCCAAACTACTCGATGTTAAGATATTCCTTGAGAACAGATTACCGTTAAGCCAAGTCTCCCCAAACTACTCGATGTTAAGATATTCCTTGAGAACAGATTACCGTTAAGCCAAGTCTCCCCAAACTACTCGATGTTAAGATATTCTTTGAGAACAGGTTACCATTAAGCCAAGTCTCCCCAAACTACTCGATGTTAAGATATTCTTTGAGAACAGGTTACCATTAAGCCAAGTCTCCCCAAACTACTCGATGTTAAGATATTCCTTGAGAACAGATTACCGTTAAGCCAAGTCTCCCCAAACTACTCGATGTTAAGATATTCCTTGAGAACAGCCAAGTCTCCCCAAACTACTCGATGTTAAGATATTCTTTGAGAACAGGTTACCATTAAGCCAAGTCTCCCCAAACTACTCGATGTTAAGATATTCCTTGAGAACAGATTACCGTAAAGCCAAGTCTCCCAAACTACTCGATGTGAGAACAGGTTACCATTAAGCCAAGTTAGAAACTACTCGATGTTAAGATATTCCTTGAGAACAGATTACCGTTAAGCCAAGTCTCCCCAAACTACTCGATGTTAAGATATTCCTTGAAGTCTCCCCAAACTAGATGTTAAGATATTCCTTGAAGTCTCCCCAAACTACTCGATGTTAAGATATTCTTTGAGAACAGGTTACCATTAAGCCAAGTCTCCCCAAACTACTCGATGTTAAGATATTCCTTGAGAACAGATTACCGTTAAGCCAAGTCTCCCCAAACTACTCGATGTTAAGATATTCCTTGAGAACAGATTACCGTTAAGCCAAGTCTCCCCAAACTACTCGATGTTAAGATATTCTTTCAGGGCCGATTGCCATTAAGTCCCTTAGATATGAATTAATTGTGATTTCCTCAATATATGTTGGAACTTGTCTGTCATTTGAAAGTTTGTCAGACGTTTCCAAAACTCACAAATGTATTTAAAAGCAATCAAAACAGGTTACTACTGATCGCTCAATGTTTGGGACGGGGTTTCAAAATACTCATTTAATTTGGTCAGATTATCAGTAAGTTATCAACACATAAACCGAGAAAAGATGGTGCTTTTTTTTTCAATGATGCTTTTATCATTTTTTTTTCTTACAATAAAAAGACGTGAAAACGTATATTTCGGAACATTTCTTCAGGCTGGTAATGTCATCTCCTCACACTACTTTCAACCTTAGTGTCCAAGATGGTAAAGATAGTTTTTTTTAGGATGAACTATAATCATATACATACTAAGGTCGAAAGTAGTGAGAGATGACATAACCAGCCTGAAGAAATGTTCCCAAATATAGGTTATATATGATGATGACCTTGTAGTCATGAAAACTTGCACTCAAATTTTCTACTGGTTGTGTAATAAGAAATCTTATTCTAGTGAAAACTTGTGGCCATAGTGTAAACTAATTACCTTACAGTATTGCTAAATGTTTCTATGGAATAATTTAGTCAATCATTTCAAATGAAACAAATTCAAAATTCACCAAAATACAAAATAGGAAATTATTCAATTCAGGAAATCAAAGTACAGACTGAAAACTGATAATTATTACACTGTGTGTCTTCTCCATTCACTTCAAAGTTATCTCACCAGTTAATGATTCAAACACTGACAGGTTACCTCTGATTCTGCCTACAAGCTCAGATGTCAAAATCAATAACAAACATCAACTCAAGTTTTAAATATTTTTATATAATAGTGCTTTCACACTAAAACAGTGAACAATTCACTACATAACACTGAAATGACAGTAGGATATCATTCTTCTGTTGTTGTCTAACAATTTCTAAATACTCATAGTACTCACCAGTACTGCAATGCAAATATTCTACCTCTAATTTGACGTCAATGGCATCACAACTGAAGCGTAAAATACCTACCAATAAAACTATTGCCAGGTTGATATATCACAAATTTTAATATATCCATGTATGTATATGCACAATAATATGGTGCCATTTACCAGTGTATCTGAACCAGATACAAATGTAGCCAGAAATAAAGGAAGTTTTTGACATGCTGACAGAAATAAAATGAGATCAGTCTTTCAAATGGAAATAAATTTTATAAAATAGGAAAACAAAATGGTGATATAGAAATGGAGACATTTCTTCCTGGTTTCCCTGTGATCAATCAGCCTTTAATCATGATTATCTCCCCTAATGTACCATCCATGATATTCAAATATCATGGAAGAAAATTTCAATATAAAGTAAAAATATTGAAATAATCTGGCAAACAAGTGATGTCAGCATGATAAAAAATACTATCTCATATTTCATTACATTCTTAGAACATTAAAAAAACTCTTTTAAATAACAATCTAACCACTTAACCAAGCACAAATATAACTGGCTTTGTAAGGTGTGTTATGATTATGTATACAACAATACATTGATATGTCTTGGTCAAGGCTGGTTCCATACATGTCCTAACTTTTTAATTGGTTGTTCATTTATTTTGTATTTTAATGGGTTAATCCATGAAGTGTCATGAAAATATAATTTTTTAATCTATATTTAATTGAAAGATAAACAATCACAATATTTCACAGGTAAAAATTGTAATAAAGTCAAAAGACACAGACAACAACACATACATATTCATTAGCAATTAAAATCATTATATTATAATTAGGAATTAAAAAAATGTTTCTGTGGAATTACAAGGATCACAGTTTTATCAGTATCACAGTCATATAGATGCATTAGATATATTAGCAGTAAATCACAGAGAAAACATTTGGCTTCAAAAATCAATATGTAAAAATCTGAATTAAACAAGAAAATATGATAATGTTCATATGTGTAATGCTTCATTTTATACCTAAGTAATTTGGCATCAATGCTTTTGAGAAAATCTATATAAAAAGTCAGGCATCATGGTGTAAAGTCGTCCAGCAGTAAAGTTCTGACATTTTATTTTACAATGAAAAGCTAATTTCTGATAAGCATTTGTATCAAGCAATCATTTTTTTAAAAAATGTTTAACATTTTCAGTTTTTTGTTATATTTTGGGGGGTTTTTGGCATTGAAAGAAATTTCATTTTTGTGTTTAAAAAATGATTTAAAAACAAAATATAATACAAAATTAATGGTTTGAGTAAGAAAATTGCAAAATTACAAAAATAATGTTCTGTAAAATATGAACTTTGAAAATAAATTCAGAGAGAAATTTAGAATTGAACATTTCCAAAAATATAGAAAAAAATATCACAAATTCATCCAGACTTCGGTGTGATTGAATGTAAAGTGATGAAATAAGACAAATTTAGAGTTCAAATCTCGATACAGCTGTCAACATGAATCATTTAAGAATCAATAAAATATAAGGTCTTGCCTTCTTCTCTCTCACACTCTCTTTTACTGGACAACTCTGAAATCACTACTACCCTACATAAAAAACGAAAACTGGGAAAATGCTGCTTCACCTCACACATAAAATACCATCTAACTATTGACGAGTATTTCTGGTATAAGTTTAAAACTAACATAACAGGCATATACCCAGCATAGATATTATTGATAAATAATCATTGTGTCCTAGGTTTAGTGAAATTGGAAAGTAATACCATAAGGGAGAAAAGGTACACAAATGTATTTCCTAAAATCAAATCACTTAGTAACACATGTACTTTTAAAATTTCTCAGCGTACAGACAATAACTGATCTTCCCCAACAAAATTTGGTTTTTACCCAATATTTGGCACTACAGATTTGTATCAACATATAATAATTTGTTTTGTTGCATATCGACAGCAATATGAAAATATACTGACAAAAAACTTTATAGCCATCAGTCTAGAAAACAAACCTTTTGAGCTTGAGATCTCGATATCCTAAAGTAGGACAGGCTTTGTTAAAAAAAAAAAAAGAAGAAAAACAGGCTTTACAGCATTCCTAAATTCTCATCAGTAAATACATGGGAAAAATATACATTTCTCTCCAACCATATACAACTATTAATTGACATCTGCCTTTGTTGGAAAGTGATTGTATTTCCTGACCTCAGCCTTTGTTAATTAGGTGTTATGTGTGATCCAAGTTAAGATGCCCAGACCTTTGTAGGCATGTAACGGCTTTCCTTCTTCACTTCCTCAGTTATCTAAACTTGACCACAGAAAATAGGCTTGCCCTCAATGAAGTAACCCAATGTGCACTAACCTCATTGAGAAAATGTTTCCACATTTTGTAAAAAGTTTCCTGACAGTAAAACACAGTAGGTTAAATATTTACTGATAAGTTATTAACGGAAAGACCTTCTTCAATGTGCCGGCGCCAACATAGGTTCCTCCAATGTCGGCACCATCGACTGAGACGGAATAAAGTACTTCTGTGACGATTTAAGAGTTATAAGGATAGGTTCTTGGAATCGAGAATCAAACTCGTCAATATAACTTGGGAATGGATTAATATACAGTGTCTTCATTGGTAGATTGATACTGGGAGTGAATCCCGTCAGCTGTCCAGGAGCAGGCTGGTTCCCGCGATTTGTTGTGGCCAGTTGGCGATAATCTAGAATAAAAGATGGAAACAATATATCACTGTACAATTATTTTTATTCCAGGAAATCTTATTATAAGATTATAAATACACAGACAATGTCCAGTAAGCAGGAAGAATCAAGCATCAAACAAACTAGGAGGATAAAAGTACAATGGACTGGCCTGAAAGAAAACATCCAGGAGAACTGATCACTAAATCTACATTTTCAAAGTGGAGAAAAATTGACCATAAAATTCTCTGTTTATCCAAAGCCAAGGGAAACAACACCTAACCTGTGGTTCAACTAAAGGGAGTGGGATTAATTATCACAAGATAGATCCAAGATATTGCTGGAGTTTCTACAGAAATGGCAATAAATCTTGGTGGTGTAAATTTTGAAATAGATTCCTTCCGAACATAAAACCGAAGTATCAGTTACTCACCAATATGTAAGTTAGTTTCACGGTGAGGACGACATTTACTGGTGTGAGTTTCACCCAGACGTACCAAAGCAGGTTTACTGAAACAAAAAGTATGTTACAATTCTTAAAAGTAAAAAAAATGCAAAGCAATCACTAAAAACTGTCATATAATGAGCATATTTGTTTTGAAATATGCTATTTATGAATTTCAATGGAAATTAAATTTTTGAAAATTCCTTAAAACTAACGACGAACTTACTGTGGGAGTTTCGGCAGGACAAGCACAGTGTTTTTGGCTTGTACTACATTATCCTGGGACCCAGCACCACGCTTGCCACCCTTTCTAACTCCATCCACTGCTTTCTCCATCATCATGTCACAGAAGTAGTTCAAAGCATCCATGAATGTTGCCGTCTCCACCACTGATAAGTCAGGTGGCTTATCAAAGGTCACTGATAACAGAACATTGCATTCTAGGATAAAGCTTTACATAAATTATGTTTTCCATTTCCATATTTCCAACTGAAAAATCCCCCCACCCCAAAAAAATGTTTATATGACTGAACTGGTGGCACCACGTTGAAGATAGGACAACCTTAACCATTCAAAGGAAAGCAGGGGAGCATTTGAAGACTTATAACCATTAAAAAATAATTTCACTTGTAAAATACTTCAACAAATGCAACAACTAAATGAATCATATCAGTAAATTAAAACATAACACAAATCATAAATACTGATAAATAAAGTGTTGTAATGGTGTACCTGTGAGACTTCTACGACGATCTTCCCCTGGGACACGGGGTTATTAAAACATAACACAAATCATAAATACTGATAAATAAAGTGTTGTAATGGTGTACCTGTGAGACTTCTACGACGATCTTCCCCTGGGACACGGGGTATGAACTCTGTGCCCTCTGGAAGTGTGGTTACTGTTTCCTGATCGTCTGGTTGTCCTTCACCTCCACCCTATAGGATAAACACATACCACTACATCCCACGGACAACTGATGATCAAAAGTACCGAATATTTTTTTCTAATAAGAAATCTTAAGCAACTTATCCTGTTCTACAATAAAGCTTAAAATATTAAACCACATCTTATATATTTCTAGAATATACAACATTATCCTTGACTACCAAAATTTTTTTAAGTGCACTTTTTGTTGGAGGAAGTTGTGAGGCTTTCCAATACTAACCGTGGATCGCCTCAGAATACTCTTGTTTGCTGCTCCGCGTTTCTTTCCCTCGCCACGACTTAATTTACCATGAATATTCTGTCCCTTCTTCATTCGCTCTATTGTGTCTGTCAGATGGAGTTTGTAAGAAGTCATCCACCTAAAATGTAAAATGTATTAAAGTATATATGACATTGTTGGCGGGATATATAGAATAATTTTGGTAGATTATCACCATTAAACATTACATAATATCAATTTATCCAAATATAAAGACAAAGGACTAGACACTTCATATAAATGTAAGTGTATCTAAATGTTTAGAAAATGAGAGATTAGACTGAGGTGAAAACAAAAGAATAAAACCAGATCTGTCAAGTTTTAAAACCTAAACGCAGATGAAAAAGAAAATCCAGATTAGAGCATTATCATTGTAAGACCAAGTGTATAACAACGTCCCAATGTTTTGTTTTGATATCATGGAGTTAAAATCATCATAATGTGAGGGAAAATCCAAGTCAACCTCTAATCTCTAGGGAGTAGTGTGCACGTAAAAATGAACAAAACAAAAAATAAAACAAAAAAACAGGCATTACATAAAAATATATACAGTACACAATGGTCAAAGCTCTGTAAGACAGTTTAGTACCTATCCAGCCATTGCTGTGCCATCTTCCTGAGGTCAGCTTTGCGGTCATCTTCTTCTACATTCCATATGTCCCAGGAGTCCAGCTCTTTCTGTATGTGTTTATGTGGGTCTTGGAGACCACTTGCTGCCAGACTCTCGGCTACAGTCATCCTGAAATTACATTAACTGAACACTGACATTCTCTGTAAAAAAACCTCTGAAATATGCATTCATGTTTACCTAATCAGCATTTAATCTCATAGTCCTCTAAGCATTATCATGAAAATTTCATTTCGAAGAAACATTGTATCGTAAATAATTTTCAAATATGCCACACTTTTCACAGCAATAAGAAAACATTCATTTTTACCCTTCAGTTTTACAATAAATCTGATGTCAATTGAAGAACTGAATGTTTTCAAATTATTTGATTCCAGTCTAAATGATTGTTAGATTCAGCCATTCTTCATTTTTTTCCAATTGATATGCATAACACAGTGTTTAAATACTGGAGTTTTGAAATGATTTAATCTATAAAGAACACTGGATAAACTTGATGGATAAGTCTCTGGTCCTACTCACCGTACTTCCTTATCTCCATCCAGAAACTGTACCATAAGTTCTGTGATAAACTCTTTATCGTAAAGACCAAACTTAGTCATGGCTCGCAGGGACGACAAGATGAAGCTCTTCTGTGATATCACTAGGCACGTAGGTGGCTCCTTGCTGTGGTTGAGGATTGCCACCAAGGTCTTGTCGATGGATGATATGGTTGCTTCTGACATGTCCTCCTGAGTACACAGCATTGTGAGAGCATCGACAATACTTGTCTTCATGGGATACTCAGCAAGACGAAGCACACGGCTAAGCATTGTGGCAAAGTTTTCCGGTGTCCAAGGCTTTGGTATACTCTGAAGATAAATAAATCTACTTAAGACGAGAGTTAAAATTTCTATGGAAGTTTCTTCATTTCTAAGAAGACAATTCTACAAAAATGGCCCACTATTTCTTCTTAGACACCTTGTTATGTCCAAAAACGCAATAACATTCAGAAAAATGTAAAGTTTGTTAAAATAAGCCAAAAGACATATTTTTTATCTTTTCAAAACTCATACGGGAAATAGCATCGGGGTATTTGCCAAGATAATTTCACTAATATTATCTCTTTTTTTTCATTGTTAGGGCATGAAGTGTTAATCTTGTTCATTTCTGCTTATTTACTTTTAACAGGTAAAGATATAGACCTGTAATTTGGTATGTACTTGTATATTGTTAATATGCAGGTAAAGTTCTGACCTGGTTTAAAATGGTCATTGATTTTTTCCAGTTTCTCTTTGCAAAGCCAGTAACACTAAAATCTTCCAAACTTCTTTATAGGAGGCAGGGATATATAATGTCATTCAAATACAAAGTGTTTTGTTGTGATCATAATGGTTCAACTTACAATAACAAATTTGGGTGCTTTGGCTTTAGTGTGTTTGAGCACACTTATGCTTACCTCCATGCTAGGGAAGAATTTCTCAAACCAAGGTGTGCCATTGAACTGTGTAATGAAGTCAGGCACGGGCGTATCTTGTCTTGGTGGTGTGGGGGTTCTTGCCTTAGGAGGTGGGGCAGCTCTCACCCTCTTCATTGGAGTTGAGGGTGGGGTCTTCTCTACTACTGCAGGAGTGGCAGGGGGAGGAGTTGGATCCTTCACTGGTGAGGGAGGGAGAGGTTTCTTCACAACAGGTGGTGGTAATGGTTTAAATTCACGCTTGGGTAATGGTGCTGGGGGTCTCGGTTTGGCTTCTACAGGAGGAGGTACAGGTTTGTCAAAGTCAAAATCTCTTGGAGACCTTGGAGTTGTGGTAATAGTTGAATCATCGTCATCCTGAGAAGGTGAAAAAAAAATTACATTCAGATGTATATTATGACTCCTAATAATAAGAATCACTGAATGTCATTTCAAATATTTCAGATATGCAGGTACAACTTCATTTTAGAAACTGTCTCATCAGTTGTCAATAATTCTGTTTTATATGACAATTTCATTTGAAGAAGAATGACATCAATGTTATGACAATAGGTTTCAAAATGGTGACAAGATAATCTTTTTGTCAAGAATATTACAGTTTATGTATTTCATATGAAGCACAGATAACACAAGTTTTGAACTCACTGCTGATGGTTTAGCAATAGCCCCTTGAAGCTTAGATAGAAGAGAGGTTGGTTCTCTTGAGGATATGGGTGGGGTAACATTCTTTTCTATCACATGGACTGTGTCCTTTCGGCTGAAGGTGACTTCCTTTGCATCCTTTGGCTTTATAGGAGGAGGTGAAGGAGTAGGAGGCTCTGAGATAATTGGACTCTCCCGTATGGACTCTTCATCTTCTTTAGAGCCATAGTCAAAGTACATTGGCTCAGGTGTGACTTCTCTGATCTCTTCTTCCTCTTCTTCAGGAGGAGGCTAAAACAGGTGATAAAGATGCTGTTCATTTTCACATCAAGATAAGAAACAAAAATGTTACCTCACACTCCACTTTCAATACTATTACATCAGATAAGTTCAAATCAACATAGGGCATTTATTTAAGGTTCTTTTCACAACAACTCTTTCTTTCTTAGCATTCATGTCTTCTGTATTGTATAATGATTAACCCCACCTCCCACCATTCCAAGAATGCTCAGTAAGAGAAGATTTATTTTTATCATGACTACCCTTCCTTGCTTGCTTTTAATTTAGCAAAAATGTGACAAAATAAAGTCATTACTAGTTTGTTATCTTTTGAAACAATAAATATTTGGAACTATTTGCTTTCATCAGACAAAAATAGGCAGAATATAAACATCAATAAAAATATCAATAAATCAATGTAACCAGTAAAAGACTTGGAACTGTAAAATGATAACACCACCTGTAAACATGATGTTGTTTACCTGTATCATCATCTTTGAAAAATGCTGCACTAGATAACACTTCTCACTTACTGTTGGATTATAAATGATATTAGAAATGATAGTTCAAAGATTTAACAACAGACATAACCCAGGGTTCTGGTTTTGTATATGTTCTGGGAAAATTAGATCAAACCACAATGTAAAATAAACAGTATTTATTTTAAGCATATCAACACTTGGTCTTCTTGTTTAATGAGAGAAAAGACAGTTATCAAAATGTATGATCATTTTCGGAAACTGAAGTATCATGACTACTTTCAAATTGTTTAAGCTGGTACCAAAAGGTCACAACTTACCGATTCATAATGAGTGCCGCTAATCTCAGCCAGTTGCCGTGCAGTGAGAGCAGGTGGCTGCCACCTCTCCTCTTTGTTGGGGGGTGGGGGTGGTGGAGGTGGCCACAGAATTTTCACCATAACAGAGTTAGGCACAAAGCCAGTAGCACTGACAATAGGGTAAGCAGGCTGTAGTGGGGTGGATGTAGGCTCTCTTGACAGCGCAGGAATTGAAGCGGAGCGTATACTCGATACTTTGGATGGTTCACGGGAGAAGTGCACAACCTTTTCTTTCTTTGAAACACTTGGTGCTGGTGATCCTGTCTGAGCCTCTGGAGATGGTGCTTTTGTTACAGGTGTATCTGGCTTTAGAATAGAGGCAGGTAACCCTGGAGCAACAGGTGTCTGTTCCTTTGCCGCATCAGGTTGGACTTCCACTGCAGGTTTCACCTCCACCGTGGGTTTGACCATAGACGTCTCTCTGGATATCCGAGAACTGACTGCTCTTGATGCAGGGGGGAAAAAGCCAGTGGGTTCTTTTTCTGGTTTATAAGGCTCTTCCACTAGAGAAAATAAAATTAACAATCAGATTCATTTAAATAAAGTGTTTTACACACATATATACATATGTATATGAAAACAAAAGCATCAATTAAACTGATAAATGCTCCCTGTAAACAACTTTATTTGACATGAAATTTCAGCAAAGGGCAATAATTCTGTAATAAAGGGATTTCAGGCACTAAATTTAGTACTTTTAGTATGACCAATGTATACACCAAGTTTCATTTTGTTAGCTTAAGTAAAAGTAAAGTTTAAAGTTGTGCTTTGGACACGAAAATTTTGAAAAAGGGCAATAACTCTGTGATTAAGGGGTTGTAAGCCCTGAATTTGGTACACTGCAAATTGCCTTTGTACGGCAAATGTGTACACCAAGTTTCAATTTTGCCAACACAAGGGAGACAACTCACCTTTTTCAACAGGGCCTTTCAGTATTGACTTGATCTTATCTTCAGGGAACATCTCATCCTCAGGTATCTTAACACACAACAATTTATTGATATCAATCACATAAGTATAACTTGTCAAGACATCAAAATACATGAAAAATTGTGGAAATTCAAATAGCACACTATTTTTGCAGTCTTACATATAGCAAAATTATTTTGTGTGAAGACTGCTGTTGAAATATCATCCCGAAAAGTGTTTTCAGGAATTTACTTCAGTTTGTGGTTTGAATTAATTCAGACCAAAATAATATCAACAGCAGAATATACATTCAGACCAAAACAATATAAACAGCAGAATATACATTAAACTAATCAGTTATATTTATTTTTATTGCTCCATAATTAAAAAAACAAACAAATACTGATACACTGCCACCAGTTATAGCTTCACATTAAATACAATACATGTCTATTTAATTGCCAAACTCAACAAAATGGGGTCTCGAATGGTTCAAGTTAACTCCTTCACTTCAATCATTTTCTATAAAGAATTGGATTAGTGTTCTGGATCTTAACTTTGGTGATAAGACTTAAAATTTAGTAAAAACTATAGGATATGATTGAAATTAAACAAGTTTTTTTTCTTCAAACTGACTAACCGAGAGTCTAGGACGATCATAATACATCCTCATATAGTTTTTAAATGCGTCGTCCTTAGTTTCCGGAGTTTGTCTCGGCTTTCTTTTGGCTGGTAGTTGTGCATCTCTGATCTTGATAAGTTCAGAATCCCTCGCAGCAATCTCAGCAAAAGCAGCCTGTTTCATTCGTAACTCTCGTGTGATTTCCTCTTCTTCTTCCTTGGTCAGAATATCCTCAAAGTGGTCATACCTGTAGCAATGTCAAGGTCAAAATTCTCAGTGAATGATGTACTGTTGCCTGTGGGTATCAACTATCAAAACTGATTTACTTGTACCTGTATCTATTGAAGTAACATGGACAATGGTGTACCTTATACTTATTGTATTGTCAGGTATGAAACAAGTATCAACATGTTCCAGTGTATTGGCTTGAAAGTATTTTTATCTAATATTTTTTAAGAATGATGAGTCCTGCTTACTTGAATGCTGAGTGGGATTTCTTGAGACGTGTGAATTCTCTTTTTGACAATTTTTTTACAAGATTTTCATCCAGTTCAACAATGGCTTCTGGTTTGGGGTCTGCAAACTTCATAGATACCATCTTAAACAAGTAGGTTTTCGGCAGATCTAAAATCAAATAAAAAAACCCAGAAAACTTGATGTCAGTGTAATCTAAGATTAAAATTCACTCATTTGTAAGACAGATTTAATATTCTTATACAGAATCAATTTTAGTTAATCACATGATATTTTAATTTCAACCAATCAGAAACTTTGAAACAGTTTCCATGGTAAAAGTTTTGAAACACCTAATATATCCAATTATGGGCTATAATTAGCTGTAACATCTGATCAAGTTTAAATGAAAAGTAAAAAAGCATAACTTTATATCACAAGGATGTTACATGCCAAGTTTGTGAAATACTGCTTCAGTACTTATCAGGTACACTTGATACAATATTCAAAACAGAAAATCTACAAAAAGGGGTACAACTCCAACAAATGTTAAAATTTCATAAAAAGCAAATGGGCTCAACCAGATATCAACCTCTCTCTCTCACTATATATATATATATAAATCACTTTCATGGCCCCTATAGATCTCTATCATGGCCTCTAAAGGTCTCTATCATGGCCCCTATAGATCTCTATCATGACCTCTAAAGGTCTCTATCATGACCCCTATAGATCTCTATCATGGCCCCTATAGATCTCTCTCATGGTCTCTATAGATCTCTATCATGACCCCTATAGATCTCTATCATGGCCCCTATAGATCTCTCTCATGGTCTCTATAGATCTCTATCATGGCCCCTATAGATCTCTATCATGGCCCCCTATAGATCTCTATCATGGCCCCTTTAGATCTCTATCATGGCCCCTGTAAGTCTCTATCATTATCTCTAAAGGTCTCTATCATGACCCCTATAAATATGATGAGGTTTTCATGAACTTATTACTCATTCAAAAACATTTGAGATATGTAATAAAAAAGGAGACAACCAAACACCAATTCAGGCCAAATCTTACAGCAGCAATATAATCTAAACAGAAACGTAGATATTCTCTTTGAGATCCAAAGGCTACAGAATCGAATGAAGGGAATACTTAGTGATATTCTAAATCACAAAAGTAAGTACTCTACCCACTACCTATAAGGCTAATAATAGCTAGAAGATACTCACAAAGGTGAAAGCATACTCACAAGATTGGTAGGGTACTCGATACAGATGAGGCCCTATTCCAACAAGGAGGTCACCACGTGAACTACAGAAACCAACACTATAAGGCATCGTCTTCAGCTTGAGATGTCTGTATAACAGAAACATACAGGTATACATCATGCATACATGTTGGCAATTGTCATATTCCTTGTAATATCTATTCTATATTCAATCAATGTTACTTATTCATGATATGTAATATGTTACTAATATAAGAGAAACATCACAAACTAAGCAATCACAAATTCTGTTATCTAGTCTTAATAATCAGGTCACCATTAATCTGGTTACCCCACTACCCTGTCACCATTAATCTGGTTACCCCACTATCCTGTCACCATTAATTTGGTTACCCCACTATCCTGTCACCATTAATCTGGTTACCCCACTATCCTGTCACTATTAATCTGGTTACCCCACTATCCTGTCACCATTAATTTGGTTACCCCACTATCCTGTCACCATTAATCTGGTTACCCCACTATCCTGTCACTATTAATCTGGTTTCCCCACTATCCTGTCACTATTAATCTGGTTACCCCACTATCCTGTCACCATTGATCTGGTTACCCCACTATCCTGTCACCATTGATCTGGTTACCCCACTATCCTGTCACTATTAATCTGGTTACCCCACTATCCTGTCACTATTAATCTGGTTACCTCACTATCCTGTCACCATTAATCTGGTTACCCCACTATCCTGTCACTATTAATCTGGTTACCCAACTATCCTGTCACTATTGATCTGGTTACCCCACTATCCTATCACCATTAATCTGGTTACCCCACTTTCCTGTCACCATTGATCTGATTACCCCACTACCCTGTCACCATTGATCTGGTTACCCCACTATCCTGTCACTATTGATCTGGTTACCCCACTATCCTGTCACTATTAATCTGGTTACCCCACTATCCTGTCACCATTGATCTGGTTACCCCACTATCCTGTCACCATTGATCTGGTTACCCCACTATCCTGTCACCATTGATCTGGTTACCCCACTATCCTGTCACCATTAATCTGGTTACCCCACTATCCTGTCACTATTATTCTGGTTACTCCACTATCCTGTTACTATTAATCTGGTTACCCCACTATCCTGTCACCGTTGATCTGGTTACCCCACTATCCTGTCACTATTAATCTGGTTACCCCACTATCCTGTCACCATTAATCTGGTTACCCCACTATCCTGTCACCATTGATCTGGTTACCCCACTATCCTGTCACCATTGATCTGGTTACCCCACTACCCTGTCACCATTGATCTGGTTACCTTACTATCCTGTCACCATTGATCTGGTTACCTCACTATCCTGTCACCATTGATCTGGTTACCCCACTACCCTGTCACCATTGATTTGGTTCCCTCACTATCCTGTCACCATTAATCTGGTTACCCCACTACCCTGTCACCATTGATCTGGTTACCCTACTACCCTGTCACCATTGATCTGGTTACCCCATTATCCTGTCACCATTATCCTGGTTACGTCACTATCCTGTCACTATTACTCAGTTACCCCACTATCCTGTCACTATTAATCTGGTTATCCCAATATCCTGTCACCATTAATCTGGTTACCCCACTATCCTGTCACCATTAATCTGGTTACCCCACTATCTTGTAACCATTAATCTGGTTATCCCAATATCCTGTCACCATTAATCTGGTTATACCAATATCCTGTCACTATTAATCTGGTTACCCCACTATCCTGTCACTATTAATCTGGTTACCCCATTATCCTGTCACCATTGATCTGATTACCCCACTACCCTGTCACCATTAATCTGGTTACCCCACTATCCTATCACCATTAATCTGGTTACCCCACTACCCTGTCACCATTAATCTGGTTACCCCATTATCCAATCACCATTAATCTGGTTACCCCACTACCCTGTCACCATTAATCTGGTTACCCCATTATCCAATCACCATTAATCTGGTTACCCCACTATCCTATCACCATTAATCTGGTTACCCCACTACCCTGTCACCATTAATCTGGTTACCCCATTATCCAATCACCATTAATCTGGTTACCCCACTACCCTGTCACCATTAATCTGGTTACCCCATTATCCAATCACCATTAATCTGGTTACCCCACTACCCTGTCACCATTAATCTGGTTACCCCATTATCCAATCACCATTAATCTGGTTACCCCAGGGGTTACACTTATAGACTACTGTACCAGTAGTTTAGGATTCTAATAATGAAGTTACCAATATCATTTTTTTCTTAATGAGACCAAGAGGATGATCTACTATATTCCCTGTGTCCTATACCTTATCAGGTTGTTCTGCTCGTCCCAAATTCTGATTGACCCGTCCAAACTGGATGATGCATACAGTTTCATTCTCTGGCAGCTAGTCAGGCCTGTTATAGAGTCTGTGTGATCATCCTCTGGTTTGTGTTCAAATAAGTCTGTAAACCATACAACAAGTAAGATATATGTATTCTATAATTACTGGTAGCATTAAGTCTCATTTTTGTCTACAATATATTGAAATTTTCCTCATTCTGTCAAAATTTGAATCAGCTTTGTGACACATGATGCTTTTTTGTGACATGATCAACGAAAGAAAAGTCCTTTTTTCCGACTTCAGGAATCACAAAACTAACTATTAATGACCAATGAAATATTTACTTGAGAAGTATCAACAACTTATTTTGTAATGTTGAGATTATTATCAAAGACCAAATTAATTCAACAAAAACTGGGTTAATAAAAAGTGTAACCATGGGTAAACAAGCTGACCAGGCTGAAGAAAACTTGTCTCATTAATATGTTGTGTTGTTTTTTTTACATCACATTAAAACTGTATGATTATATATATAACATAAATAGTTGTGACATTACATTACAATTAGTTTCTATACAAACGGTAAGAACTAGTTCATGTTCTGAACTAGTTTTGAAATTTTCTGGTAATTTATCAGGGTTTTATGAAAAATGATTTTTTAAACTGTCTTCATAGTCTTCTTATTTATACAAATTATATTTATAAATGAAAAAATCAAATTATGACCTATAAAATATGACAGATAAATAAATGATAAAATGATAAATAAAATTATTACAGAAGATTATACATATCTATATTTTGAAATGATATGTTTGATAAAGCAACTTATTACGTATATAAAATCTTGATAGAATTATTTCTGTACAGTTTGGATATACATTTATCACAATTAATTGCTTCTTGGTAGGTTCTTGATATTTGTTTTTAGCACAAAATGTAAAACAGTCAAAACAGTGAAAACTCATTGTATTCCAGTGTCAAAACACAATGCGATCACAATTTTAAAGATAATTTAGGCTGTATTTTTCTTGTCTTTAGTCATGTAAAACTTAATTATTCTAAATAAAAACTTGCTGTTTCAATTCAAATGTAAAATACATGTTAATATTTTTCTTTATTTTACCATTGTGCAATATCCAAAGAAAGAACCAACCAAATCACGGACATATACTGCAGTAAACAGTAAAACAATGTTAGACAGATGTGTTTAACAAACAGAAAAGTACAGAAAGTATCACATGGTTCAGTTATTGTTTGTTATTTGCAACACACAGGAAAGTAGCCTCGGACCTCAATTGGCCAAGGACATAGGAAAGTAGCCTCAGACCTCAACAGGCCAAGATACAGGCAAGCTGCCTTGAACCTTGACTGGTTAAGGACAAAGAAAAAAAGTCTCGGACATCAACTGGCCAAGGAATGACCATAGAGTACGAACCTGGAATATTGACCTCTTCAGTTATCTGTTTGTTTTCTTTAAAACTTTATGAAATTATTCACTTACAAACTTTACAATCAACACTGGACAATATTCTTTTTTAATTTTCTGTATATAAGACAATCCAAAATGTCATTGTTTATTAAGAAATCCCGTGTCAGTATAATTCATGTTTAGTCAGGACACATAATTGTAAAAGGCAGGTAAGTATCAAAATGTATTACAAGTAATATCTTAGATATAGTTACATTAATGAATTTCAAAATGAAACAATACAATAACATTCACAGCAACCAAATATATCTGTTATAATGAAGCCAATGACTTAATCACTCTTCAAAATAATTATTTGATTAAACCAGTATGTTCAAATCATTCATGCAAACACCAATTCATAAATTATATATTTGTATACCGGTATGTAAGCTGTTATTTAAATATTACTCATCAAAAACCTTTATTTTGTCACTCTTATGCATAAAAAAACATACAAAATCATGTTATGTATTTTAATTTTCAACATCAAGCATGAACTAGTTTCAGCAGCAGTACCATTACTTACATTCCTGTTTTTTGTCACTGTTTACACCTACACATATACATGTATGTCATTGAATCCGTGTGAAAAGTGGTACAGAGTACCTTTAATGATTAGTTAAATACCAGCTCTTGTACGTACACCAGGTAAATATGATGTATCACACAGGCATTTAAGTCATATCCCTATAAATACAGTATAATGTTGTGGCATGCTAATCCTTAAACATGTAATTAACACAGTAATTACTAATTACAATGACATTTTTGTATTAAATGTTGATATGCATTGCTATGCAATTGGGGAAAGTGGTGTAATATTTGTTGATATTAGTAACCATGGAGAATTAAATATGACAATACCAGCAATATAAACAAGGTTAAAAAAATAACAAAATCAAGAAAATATTTTTCTTCTTTTTTTTTCCGAATGAAAATAAAACCAAAAACAAACCAAAAATATCTGCTACATGAATCTGTTGTTTACATTTTTCCATTGACTACAGAAATATTACTGGTACATGCGTACATGTGGTTAAACTCTGACCGACAAGAAAGATCTGAGATATTGTAATCCAGAAATACTTTACACTGTATTCAAAGAACTCTATACACAGAATAGAATAATGAATGATAATGTTAATGTAAATGAATTTCATAAGAAAACAAAATAAAGAGAAATGTTTACTAATAGACTCTGGGAAGCTGATATTAATATGCATAGCAGATCATTTTATAGAAATTATGTATTTGTTAAAATATGATAATATTGAATGGATGTATTAAGGTATAATATTGAAATGTGCCTGTTAGAATACAAGTAGAAATGTCTGTGTTATTGAGATAATATTGAATACCCTTGTTAGAATATTACTTGAAATTTCTGTATAATAATGAATGTGCATGTTAGAATATTAACAGAATATGAAAACTCTGTAATACTGATATTATTATGTAGTAATACTAAATGTGTTTGTAAATACTAATAGACTTGGAGATTCTTTATTAATGTTTTATCATTTCACAGTAAGATGTGCAAAATGTTCCACCTGTTTCGTTCTTGGGCATACTGAATACTGCAAAAGTTACATAACAAATCCATTGTACAAGTTGAAATATGAAACATCAACACATTTTCATTGACACTTATATTTTATCTTCTGGTTTTTACTTGCTACATCTTTTTATTCTTCACATTTCAACAGTTTTTGATACCAGCGTAATGATATGAAAATTTCCTTGAAGGATAAAGACCCAACACAAAATCACACAACAGTGGCCTCAACATTTAGAAGAATACTGAAGTAGTTAATCATCGTAAAATGAAACTTCTCTCTCAACATCTTTTTTTTCTTTCAAATAACTGTCTTTTTCATTTTTTAAATATGATATAATCATATTCAACAAATTGTAAGGAAGTGCCATTTGTATTGCATTTCTTGAAGGTGAAGGTCACACCATTTTTAGATCTGATTCCCATGTCAGGAACAATTCCTAATTCCATGTAATTACTGTTTTTAGGGAAAACTTCATTAAGTCAATGGAATTTTGAAAGAAAACATGCATTCACAAAACTCTGTGGTTTAAAACAAACTTTACCTGTACAAGTGATAACATAAAGATGCCAACCACCGTGCAATGTGACGTGGACGTCACAGGTGACACAGGGGAGATAATTTAGGGTAGGTAATGATAATACAGGGAAAGTACCAGGTAATTAATCGTGAAAAGTCACATAATTAAAGTGTATTGTCATTCTCAGACAGATGTCACTTACTAGAGTGAACAAGTTTGGAGGATTCTTTACTGAGATCTATAAAACATTCAAACGCAATTCAGCTATGGTAGAATTTCACAAATTTCCTTTTATGCTATATTTCAAATGCATCAGGAATGAAATGATAAGCCTTTCTAAAATCAGTTTTCACACATAAGTATCTTATATTTGTTTAATATTTTCTACATTCAATTTGATTGTAATATTACAAGAGTATAAGTTATATGCAATGTACAAAAAATAACTATATTTGATACCGTAGTTGCTATCAAATCTTTATACTTGATGTTTGAATGATGTTTAACTTTTTTCTTTTTTTTTTGATGATATCAATCTTTCATGTCCCCTACAAAGTTTGTGGTGGGTTGAAATGATAACCTTTGCGGATTTTTTAACTCACATTTTTTATCAGAAAATTAACTGTTACTCACTATTGGTGTAAAACAATCAATGGCGATATGTTATTTAAACGTGACTATAAACTGTGGTGAAGCAAGCTACATATATAGATGATTGTGTTTATCAAGGCAAATAGAACAGCAATGATTCTATAAAATGTCCAACAAAACATCCCAATATCTACTGCCATACGCATATAGATATGTTCTCAAGCTGGAGGTCCATGATTTCAGAAGGTAGTCAAATGTTTATTTTACATAATTTATAAACACATCTCTATGTATATATCAATAACTTACACCAATTAACCAATAATTAACACTAAGACTTACACCAAGTAGTAATGACCAAGAGATACGATTTACCAGACACTCCCACTAATCATTATCAGATATTACACCTCTCGTCATTGTAACATTCTAAATCATAGTACAACTATATACCCATATCCATATATAAAACTGTAAAAATGTCAACAAAACAAGTAAAATATTAACCAGGCCAAATACTACAAAGATGTTTAATACCATGAAACAACTGACATTTAAAAGCCTACAGTAGTACTTACTTCTGTCTTTAAGATTGTATATAACAATACTGTACGTGGCAGTGGAATGATCCTGAAAGGCTACGCACAGGTTTGTCTTCAGCATCGTCATGTGTATAGGCGTGTGTTTACAGTAGAACAACAGGAGAGGTGCCAGGGCTTCCTGGGCATACGGGTACAGACGCCATACCTTGATAATGTTATCTGTGGAAAATAGCCAGTTGTTAGTTATGGTGACATATATATCATTTATATCAAACGTTTTAAAATGTTTTTAAAACTTTTAGAAAATCTTTTAAAAGTGTAGGTATCTTCCGGAGATAGATCCCTAATAGAATACTGAGTCCAGTTAAAAACAACAATCAAAGTTAACAGTAGATATGACCAGACAACATCTGTCAGAAGGCTCATTAGGACTTAATGGTTAACAAATAAATCCTGCTGAACCTTCTGACAGACGTTGTCTGGTCATATCTACCATTAAATTTGCTTCCTGAAAAACACATTAAAATGACAGTGACAGTCTTACCTTTCCCAGCAGAGATGAGCTGATCCTCCTTGGAGTTGGCTATCATACTCAGCACTCCCTTTACACCATGTGCCTACACATAATGATCATATTCACATGTTACATATATTTTCTTAGTTATAGAAGACCAGAGGACAGTTCTAAGTTCTACCAAAGTTAAACAGGGCTTGCATTAAGAAAGAATGAAATATGTCACATCACACATTCAACTAAAGACATCACTTCAAATGGCAGCTCTAAATGTTTTGTGTAATCAGAAGAAAAGTTGTATGCTGTGATAATTGTATCAACAATATAACTTAATGACAGGTGTTTCAATCTTTCTTCTGTCAACTCTCCACTATATACATATTCCAGACATATTTTATCAATGTAAAGATAAATGTGGTATCTACTCACATCAATTTTGAATTCAACATCACCAGTCTCAAAGTTAAAGACACAGATGTAGCCATCCTTTCGACCCCCAAGGAGGATCGTGCGGTTGTTAGAGACAGGCTCTTCTGAGTCCGTGGCTTGGTTGATGCTCTTTGTAGCTAGGCCACGTCGAAACGCAGCCCATGCATCACTCTTGAAGTCTGGCACATACTCATAGATCAGGAGGTAATTACATGCCTCTGTCGAGTAAAAAGACAACGGTCACAAAGGGAACATAAAGGTACAATACATCATGAAAAAACAATCAAAGGTTTAAACCAAGGAACAAAGTTTAAAGGTTTCAGACAAAGCAAGCGGCATATTTATGAAAACAATGCATTCATTAAAAGTCTGCAAATCTACATGGAATTCTCGAATGACCGGGAGGGAATAATGTAGTTCCTCGATAAAACAGTTGAACCATTAGTCCTAATAAACAACTTATCTTCCTTAAAAACATCATTACCTCTTTAGTTTTAGAAATCACTAAAAAGATAAAGACTTCAACACCCTTTCAGGTCTGATCCCCGGGAAAGTTTTAAAATATGTTAAATACAGCTGGTCTCTGGGTCAGCCTTAAGAGGAATCAGTACCTATCTAATTCTTTCAGTATACACTACACTGGATATAGGGTCAATAGGTTTATTAACATTCAACATGACAGTAAATTATTCAGTCCTGTAACACAATCTCAAATTTAGAGATTAACCATTCTGTTGAAATATTTCCACATAAATATGACAATCTGGAAACAAAAGATTAATATGAGTACCTCGTGGGTTTTTACACTTCCACACAGCCTCGATCTGGGCAGGGTTGATGTCAGTCCGACATTTGTATATGTCCCCATTTCCAACAACAGTAAATATTTTCTCTGTAAATGGAAGAGAAGAACATTTTTTAATTGGTAACGATACTAAAATAACCAGTTTTAGAACAGGGTATAGCACTTTCTGTTCAGTATGAAGGACACTGTTATTCTGCATTCACCAGCCAAATGGTTTTTATTAAACAATGTGTAACAGATGATGACTAAAATCTGGGTTTGTTTGCTAACAGATGATTTTGAGATGGAGTTTTCTAAAATCTGGTTTTAGCTCACTTTCTGTTCATAAATTAAACAATGTGTAACAGATGATGACTAAAATCTGGAGCTCTCTATAAACTAGACAAATAATATTTTCAGTAGGATAGTCCCTGATGTGTCCACGATAGTTTGTTTGCTGAGTTTATCACCCCATGAACAGCCAGGTGGTCATTTTGAGATGGAGTTTTCTTATTTTTTAATTGGTCACGATACTAAAATAACCAGTTTTAGAACAGGGTATAGCACTTTCTGTTCAGTATGAAGGACACTGTTATTCTGAGCTGAGGTTACCTCACTGAACAACATATGAGAGGCCCATGACATTCCATCATAAGGTTAAAGTGTCTAGCCTAAGGACACAATCAGGTCAGCACAGATTGGTCCGTTTCTCAGCTTCATAAAAAATCATACCGCCATAGGTAAAATGCATTTAACCAGACACCTCAGATCTTCACCTGAGGATTTGCGGGTTGATACTCATCAACAGAGCAATCGCAGCCCCTTGTGTTCTGTTTAAATATCGGTGACCAAGACAGCTCTACGTCCAGTACAGAAAGAATCTCAAAAGCTGTCTTAGTCACCAACAGTGTTTTCTTAGTCACCAACAGTGTTTATGTACACCGTACAAGTATTACATGTTCATCAAATATTCTGAAATGTTTTCAATTATATTTATCATACAAGAAGCCCAAATTAGGGGAGCAATTTTCACCCAAAGGAAGGGATGTTCTTATTGCAGGACAGTGAAAACATTTGAGATAAATGAGTGGGCTTATTACCAGACGTTGCTGTATTGCAAAACAGGAATAATCAAGGGAAGGCCATATTCAAAACTAGTTATCATCAAGTCATACTCAGATTAATCAGGAATATCTATCATATAGTATTAGGAACAGGTCCTGAATCCTACCCTCAGCAACAGCATAGGCAGCATCAATGATTCCTACAGATGGATCTAAAAGCAGCGTTGTCATCACATCTCCACTAGGTGGCGTTATCAACCGAATACTACAGTCCCGACTCACCACAAGAGAACGGATAGGGTAAAATGGATGTGCTGTCTGCTTGATACTATTTACTCTTTGACTGCAAAATATCAACATTTCAATTGTTCACTGTTCATTATGACACAAGAGTTCTGCATAACACATATCACACAATTAATTTCTAATTGACTGACATTGTTGTCAAAAGATCAAATAGATTTTCTGAATTTTGTACAACAATCTAATATAATCAACTCGCTAAGGAAATTTCTAGAAAGTAAAATTATAAATATTTGCTCAAAATCATTAACTTTCATAACTACACAAAGCAATACACTGTATATTTTCTTAAAACAAAGGATTATTCCATTTACAGAATCTGAGGCAGAAAACATCAACATACCCAATAGCAGTGAAGATATTGTAGAGATGTTGAATCTTCCACAGATCAACTTGCTTATTTGCATAAGTAAAGAACACATCATAGTTCAGTTCTGTAACTAGCCCCTCAACAGGAGTATCCAGTTTGGCTCTGAAACAATAAGGGTCAATGTTTCTATATTCTTACTTTTTCTTAAGTCTCATATATACTTAAACAAAAATGTACTATGTGGAAATATTCTCAGATATGTTTTTAAATTTTGTTTGTTGATTAAAATTTGATCCTATTGCACGTAACTGGGGACACCAAATCTATTTTGCTGTTCTTCAAATGTTGGTTTTGTCATTTGCCTACAATAATTAAATTCAGAATATCAAAAGAAAAATATTCTTCACAAGTGATTACCTGTCCATTTCATCACATGAGTCAAGATTCCATACACGAATGGTGCAGTCATAGCTGGCAGAGACCACAGCTGGACCCTCAGGATAGATGGTGAGGATGTTCACACACTGAGTGTGTCCAACAAATACCATCTTCAAAAACCACTCATTATCCCAAACTTTGACTGAAAAAACAACAAAAATTCCAATCATTTTTCATAAACAACAACATCACATTTACAGTCTCTAAACAGAAGATTTTAAGTTATGTATTTGTGAAAACAATAATTGATCAATCTATTGTAATAAGAACAGAACATACTTTTTGGCCTTGTTAAGAAATCAATCAGATAAGGAAAAGTAATGTAGAGTGTCAAATTTACACCATTTAAGTACAATGTCACACTCAACGTTGAATACTGATAAACACTCCACTTCTTTGTAATGGCACAGTGGAAAATATTTTGTATTTGACTTGATTGTAAAATAAGCAGCCTTCCACAGAGGCATACATTGTGAGTGTACATGTCTATCTCTTTTCAGACATTTACTGAAAATAAAGTAATTTTACCACTAACAATGCCTCTGCTCTGATCGAATTTAGATATGATCAAATTGACTAATTGTCATTTAACTCTGCTGTAATATAGTGGTACTGGTACATGCATCATGATTTCAAACTGCCACACTCTGCTATCCCCAGAGGAACTCACATACAAAGTCTGGTACTTGTAGGATATAATGGATATTAGACATGGAAATGATAACCTATAATCCTACATTCCATATATAATGTACTATACCCAGAAAGTATGAATAAGTGCTGTAAAATTTTTACATCTATCCAAACTCACATTACATCTGTCACAGCTCACTTTACGTCTATCCCAGCTCACTTTACATCTATCCAAACTCACTTTACTTAACACACTAGAAATATTTTATTGCTGTTTATTTTTATACAATACCTATCAGATACCTGTGTATCTTTCTAACAGCAAACAGTTTTAGTATTTTGGAGATAAACAGGAGTAACAGCCCTTAATGACTGCTACAACTTTTCTTTTGTTATCATTTTAGTTTTCCCTTCAGCCAAATTAGCATGTGTTCTATTGATTAATAACAGCAGATATCAGAAGATGAATTAAGACTTACTTGTACCATCCAGAGCACCTGTTATCAGGTACTTCAGGGGGTTAAAATAAGTTAAGGCTGTAATCAGTCTCTCGTGTAGATCTTTTTTGTGGATCAATTCTTTACCCTCGAACACATTGTAAGACTACAATAAACATGAGAACATATAAGGTTACAGAAATTTGTACTCTGTAGCCAAATGGCTTTTGCCAATTTGTTGGTCCCCTTTGGTTTGGGCACTTTTGTGTAACTTGGTTAAAATGGTCCACACAGCATGGAATTATGTCATGATAATCAAAGACACTGCAGAAAATACCAGTTTTAGAATTTCCTGTATGTGTCCTTGTTGATTTTCATACAAAATATATTTAAATTAAATTAAGCTATTCATCCAGTTACAGTTTCTGACAGGTAAGGCTGCCAATCACTTAAATTTCATGTGCTGATTATTCTGTATTCTGGACTCGGACCCAATCTGCACCTGGTATTTTACTTAAAGGGTCAGACCATCCAACCATTTCAATGTTACAGGAAAGCAATCTTTTTCTTTTCTTTGAAAATGTAAACAAATTTGATAAGCAGAAGAAAATTTGAGCAACAGTTTGTTTTCACTACATGAAAACCATGTTAAGATGAATTTGTAGTTATTACATACCACTATGCCTGTGTTTTTGGACAGATAACATTTCTGCGTACGACTTGCAGTCTCTTCCAAGACTATGTGGCGGAATGTTTTGTCGTCATTGTATCGAATCTTTGTCATTTTGCGGGGAATCAGATGTCTTGCTCCATATCTAAAGGCCCAACACTATGAAAAAAAAGAACAATACATGTATAATTCATGTTACCAAGGACAATCTTTCTGTTCAATAAAAAATTTTGAGTAAAACTGACATAAGTCCCTGTAGACAGCTGGATTTTTCTTGATGAAACACAATTAGGACTTAATTTCTGATAATCATTGTGTCTCTTAGCAGTATCTTCAATCAATCATCAATATCTCAAATAGGAAAATTACTATCAAAATAATTCTTAAGAAATTGTGTGATGATAATCTGTTTACAGTCTCTGCTACCTGCTTTACATATTACATTCAACATTTTGCAGGATAAGGGAGACCACTTGAATACAACAAATATTTTATAAGTTGGACGTCTTTGTTTCTTTGGATCCATAATTATAAGATATTTTTACACCTGACAATTAGCTATAACTTACCACCATGTAGCCAGGACTAATTGTCACAAACTCACGGGTACTCTGATTGTATGTAGCCAGGTTGATCTTGCTTGGTACTCTTGCCTGTGATATGATCTCAAATTCTGAGTTCATCAGCTGTAATATTGATCAAGATGTATATCTATGTTAAAATTGTGTATAATTCTTGCATGATTATCAAATGAATAATCATTAAACGTTAAAAGAGAAATAGGTGAAAGATGATAGGTCCATAGGTCTTAATATCATCTGAGTTTGAGATATTGCTGTAAATTTGATCAATTTTAGCCCTGCCCATCATCCCTTGTAAATATGTGATTAATACCAATCTGCCATCAGATTACATCAGAATACATTTTTGTGGGGCTCAAATTGTATGATTTTTAAAAATGTATGTTCTCGGTGGCTTTAGATTCTATGGATACATCTTATCCACGAAATCCACTCGCGCTATAATCCATGTCAATGTGGATTTTAATATATATGATATCTGATATTGATTTCAATGGTGAAAACTATTTTCTTAATGTCAAATGATCAACTTGTAATCTCTGAAAGTTTTCTGGTTATTTTTGTTCATAAGATAAATATCAGAACCAATAATGATACTATAGTGTACATGTGCATCAGTTCAAATAGAAAAAGAAATGAAAATTTATATTGTTTCAGGAAAGAATTTGTTTGATAAAGTTGGTGTACTTTTTATTTACTTGCATTCATGGTCAATTTATTATTTGATCAAATAAAGGGTACCTGGCAAAAGTAGAGCGTAATAAATCCTGCTATAATTCATTCACATACCATTCAACATTAACAACTTATCTGTATAGCAATGTACTTAACACTGGTCTAGGCAGTGAGATGCCAACAGTTACAGAATAAAATGTAGTCTGGTTTATCACCAAATCACAGCTGATAGATAGGAATAGTGACCAATACCATAGAATGATGTGTAAATTAACAAAGGCAAAGATTTTTGAGAAGAAGGGTGCCATTTCCTGAAATCATTCTGTTCACATCATAATGTATTCAGTCTGAATTTTAAAATGTGGTAACACTTACAAAAAGTTCATCCTGTTCACTGATCCATCCTACATATTGTTTTGTATGTTTACAATATGTAAGGTTGTCTATAGGTTCTTCTGGAATGTAGGATTCCTTTTTACGTCCATCTTCTAAAAACACTCGGATATTTTTGCCATCTGTAGTGACATATTCCTAGGGGAGAAAGAAAGCAAAAGTCAAAACCATATCCACACCCATAGTTTTTAATATTTTTCATTTTATTTTCTTTATAGTTATAGTCTAGTTCTGCAAAATACAATATCATAATTCAATCTCTACACTTTCCTCTTTTCGTAATCAGATGAAACAACTTGACCAATTGATTTTCTTAATTTTGCAATCAAAATTTACCAAGGCAATTTCCTAATACATTGTGTGCATCTATTAACCTTCACATGTGATAGTCCAAAACTATAAAACATGTGTTTAGTGTTACCAAGTACTTCTTATCATGTTTTAATCAGTGTTATAGACACTTCCTTTTTATCATATTTCTATTGTTTTTCCTTTTATTTCTAAGTAAATTCAGGAGTTGTTGATACATGAAATACACATACATACAAGAGACCCATAGGGCCTGTGTCACTTGCCAAATTTAGTTTGCAGAAACTGCTTCATCTAAACTGAAGGAAATGTATTTCAAAGATTGATATCCATTATCCCTGTTTGACCCCACCCCTCTGTTTAAATTATGGTCAGGTGAGGTAATAATGAGATGATCAGAAATTCTCTATTGTCATCATATCAGAGATACTCTTTTTCATTTTACCTTTGTATCAGACATGTAAAGAACACATTTGATAACTCCTGGATGGTTCATTTTCCTCATATGATGAATCCCATGGGAAATCACACGTTCCTTCATGTCAGCTTGAGTGACTGCTACAATTGTCCGACGAATAGAATTCCTCAGAATAGACCAATGTGACAGGGCTTTGTTCCTCTCTTCTTCTTTCTTACGCTCCAGGAGTATCTTCATTTGTTTACTCATCGGTTCTTCTTCATCCAGAGAGACAGACCCTTTCTTGCTGCTCCTTTTGGAGGAATCACTCAGCATCCTCATTAGTTCCATGTTTTTTTTGTTTTTTTATATTTTTTAATGCAGCAGATTTCTGTAAACTTTCAGCTGATAAGAAACCCCAGATAGTTCTTCATGTCTTCTCTCTATAAGAAAAGCTAAAAATGATTACATTTGTTCTTTCCTTTCAGCGATTGATTAAATGATTAATTGTTCAAAAATAGGATGCAAAAACAAGCAATGAGAGAATGGATAATGAAAATAAGTCTGTATAAATTCAAGCTTCTAAAGAAATATAGTATGAACTGAGATCACTTTTTTTCTTTGTTTTCACTGACCACAAATAAAATGAAATAAAAATTTACTATATTTGTTTTGATGTGTTAGGTAATGCCCAGAGGAGTGGAACTTATATGCCACAGTGACATTAATTTGATGAAAGTATCAAGAAAAATAAAACCACAAGGAAATAAATTGATTAACTGATTAGCACTCCAACAAATGAAGAGAATTCTGGCATGCAAGTGATTGATCATGCAATTATTATGACAATGACGTTTTGTGATCTCATAATATTAGTTGGCATCATTTCTTGGGTACACCTCTGCTCCATTTAAGATTTTTTTGTAATAATTTTGTGATCGATCACTCAATGTAACACGCCAAATTTTCTCATTTCATGAAGCACTACTCAGTTAACAAAAATTTCATCTTGTTTTATTTCTTGACACTTTCAACAAAGAGACACTGCCTGACTCATATTAATTAGTAAAAATCTTTTTGAACAACTGAAGCATCTTTACTTTGAAGTTACTATACAATGGTGTCATTGGCAAATAGTCTTATTGTGAAGGTGGGGTCAAGGGGGTGTCCTTAATAAAGTAAAGAAACAAACTCAATCCGAGGACTGATCCCTGGGGGACACCTGACTCAACTGGTAGGAAGAAGGTTCTCCATCGAGTATTACCGATTGTGTTCTGTCTGATGTTAAGGTAATTACTGTTTTGATATTTTCTTCAGTCTTTCGGTTGATAATGGTGCTCATTTTATAGAAAGTATTAAATGTGCTCATTTTATAGAAAGTACCAAATGTTCTATCAAATTAGTTTCATTGACCATCAGACTCATTCCTTCCAATATAATCATGTTCATGATGTTGTTTGTCAACAAATGCATTTGTTTGAATGTGAAACACAATTGTTTCTGTTCACATTCGGACCAAAATTTTACTTTTCGGAATAGAACAGTCGACAAGATAAAAGTAGGGTCGCATACTTGACTGCTAGTTTGATAAAAATGTTTATAATTACCGACGACGTGCAGGAATCATCCTGTTTTAATGTCGTTCGCCGCCATATTGTATATGAATCTCCATGGATGTTGGTCTCGTTTGAAGCGAGATGTCAAGCGAGTCTAGAAATTTAAGGAAACTTGTCACTGTTTCATAGCAGTTTTTTGACGATATTTGATAGCATTTTATTACATGGTTTTCTTTTCTATATTTATAAACAATGATAACGTTATACTACAACCAAAGAACACTTAGAATAAATTGTTAAAATATTAACGGTCAAATTCACAAGTTTTGTGAAAGAGGCTTTAAAATTGTTTAAGTAATCGGAATATCCTCTATTTCATTAATGAAGTAGAGAGACACCAAAAAGCCCGGGACAGTTGAGAAACATAAATCGTACATAAGAATAACCGAAAGTTAAGATTGTGTGATGGGAGGCTTTAAATTTGAAAACGTCTATAATTTTCCTGGATGCTCCGGAAAAGTAAGTATATAGTTTCACATACTTCTTCCAACGTGTTTATTGTCCCGCAATCGCCGAATGACGACAGACATAACAAAAACACGTTGTGGTCAAAGTTCACTTATAATATAAGGTACCGGCACGTTACACCATACTACCATATACTAACCCATACTACCAAGAAAGCTGGCCCTGACAACCTAAATCCGACGGTCCTAAAAGAGTTGTTATCTACTGACCAGCGGTTTCTTATGATTAGCAGTATGTCATAGCCTAGAAAAAAAAACCCTGTCTCGTCTATTGATAAAATAATGTCTTCAAATTTTCATTACCATTTATATGCAACAAAACCATGTAGTCGAAATCACTGTGACATTCTATGGGCTGTAATATGAACGTTAGAACTGTCCCAATAAAAAGTGAGGGAATACTGCAAACAGTACATGAATCAGCATTCAAACATTAATTTTGCGAAGAAATTGTCATTTTCACAAGCATATCACACATGGATCAAAACGTTGCAAGGTATATTGATATATTGATATCTCTCTTGTGTCTCACTAGGCATCTGCATATAAAACACAAGTTAGAAAACGGTCATCCACGAACCATAACAGATTGGAACCCCCTAGCTACTACCAAAAATTAGAAACATTAGCACCCATGAAATTATCTTAATCTTATGTTCCCTTTTTTCAGACAGTTCTATCCAATTTCAATATGCATGCCATCAAAATGACATAATCTTGTTGAAGAAGGTCATTAACAATTAGAAGCAGATTTAGAAGAACTATTAAATATAGATGTACAAATAGTGATTCTCTTATTTCATTGAAAAAATATCCATGACCTAAGTGACATGTATCATGTCAATGCAGATGAGTTCTGAACTACATAAATATGTTTCGTATTTTGTGTATTAGAGTTGTCTCCCCTTAACATGTATTATTTGCAAATCACATCTTCTGATGATTTCATTTCCTAAGAAAATTATGTTTGTGAATAATACATTTACCATGCTAACTAATATTTAAACATTAATTATGTACATATTCATACTGTCACTTTTTTCAAAATGTTAATTTTTCTTTTCCACTACATGCACTTTCCCTAGCTTTATTTCCAATTTGATTGATATGATTATATAATCATTCTTTTCTGAAAGGCTCTTGGCGATCCTCCACACATTCTTCTTCCTATCAGTACAGTTGGTATGTAGATGTGATAGACAGAATGGGGACAATCCAGTTATATTTGTTCAAATAAAAGCAGGCTGCTGAATGGAGGCAACATAGTTCTTTTCTGATACTGCTGAAACTCTACTTGCTGTTTTGACAGTTATGAATATTTAGTATTGACAGTATTGCTAATATAAACATTAAGTTAAACATCCACTGACCTTTGGAGACAAAACTAACCCCTCCCTGACATCGGAGACCATGATATTGTCTTTGTTGAAGTAAGGTTACCCCTTAAAGGAGTTAAGCAACCCAAAGGTAAAGTCTACATTTGGAAGAAAGCAAAGCACAAAGAACTTTAAGCTTGTTAATATTTTTTAAAGAGGATGTTACCACCCTTACTGACAAATGTACCATCAAAGTTCTCCAGTACCAAATACTCCAACCCTTGGGCAAACAATACATTACACCATCTAAGTAACAACAAACCTTAAATCATATGAAAAAGCAAGAACCTCAATGATAACCAAGACTAGGAAAAGTACAAACACATCAAAAAACCACAAGACCAGCACACAGCAATATCTTAAAGAAGTAGATCTTACATGTTACCTAAAATAATTCAATAAAATCAATAAGGCATAAAAGATGGACAGTTCAGGTGTCTCCCTACTACATGGACTTAAGCTTTTTTACAATGACCCATAAATACAAACTGACATATTAAAACATACAAACTTATCTACTATAGTATCTACAACAATTTCCTTATTTCTTCCTAATCGACAACAAAAAGTCTTTATCAACAATACCAGTTCTTCTTTTCTTTTGATGGACCCTCTCATTTTGCAAAGTACATTTTTTTGGCCACCACTCTTCTTCCTCTTCATATAAATTCCAATAAATTTGTACTTTCCACTGCTCGTCTTTTTGCTGATAATAGTCTCATTTATAGACCCGTCAAAGACTGTGAGCAATATGACTATAATAATAATGTAAATGTTTTGTTATCAGGACATCTGAAAGAAATCATTCCAGCTTTTTTGATAAAATTACTACAGGTAGTCCCAGTTAGTACATACTTGATCCCATGTCCTTACTTGTAAAGTACCATAGCTTACTGGGGCAGCTGATGCAGACAGCCTTGAATCATTTGATTATTTTGAGTGAAGGATTTCAAAATCCAACTCAAAACTTTGTGTAATATTCTTAAGCTGATACTGTTGCATAGACTTTAGCCTATTAACTCACATTTTTCATAAAATATCATCTGATTGTGGACATGAAACAACTGTATTTGGAAGTGTAATAATTTATAGTTTGCATTTTCACCAAACATATCGTCAATGACTGATATGTGTTATGCTCATGAAAGTAAATGGTAATTACTGCCTGCAGGTAAAAGGTTGTCATTTCTGGGTATAGTATTACACAGATATACACCTTGCATGGACAGCAAAAAGCAAATGATTGTTATCCTAACACTTGGTATGCCGGGTTTGTGCTCAACATGTTTATGTATGAAAGGAGGAAGTTCTGGCTATATTTACCATGTATAGATAAAAAAAAACAAAACCAAGAATATATAGCCTTATTTCTGCTGACAATGAGGAATACTGCTATTTCTGTGCACATATTAGTTTCTTACATTATTAGGCCACCTGAGGCGAAGTCTCAAGTGTCCTATTGTGATCGCCTATTGTCTGGAGTTGTGCGTTATCCTTTGTAAACAAATGTCATGTTTGTCTTCTTCTTAATAATCAAAAGGCCAAGAGTACTGGTATTGGACCTGTAGCATGCTGGAATGAATGAGTTACCTTGATTCACTTTCAAGGTCACAAGAGCAAAATGTATTAAAATCTTTAGACAATTTCTTCTCAATAACTAAAAGTCCAAGGGTGCTAATATTTGGCCTGTGGTATTGCTGGCTTGAAGGGCTACCAAGTTTGTTCATATTGTTGACCTTGACCTATTTTTAAGGTCACATGTATCAAATATGTCAAAATCTTCAAACAACTTCTTCTCAATAACCATGTGGCCCAGGGTGCTGATATTTGGCTGTAAGTAGTATGCTGGAATGAAGATCTATCATGTTTGTTCAAATGAATTACCTTGACCT